AAAACCTGAATAGGCGTCCATAAAGCTCATCAAGGCATGGCCGGTTGTAGAGTCGACCAGACTGTCAATCTTTGGAGAGGATAGATGTCCTTCGGACATGCCTTATTCAAGTCTGTGTAGTTTACACACATGCGCCAGGTTCCATTCGGGTTCTTAACAAGCACAATATTGGCAACCCAATTAAGAAAATAGCATTGTCGAATGAACCCAGTATCTAACAATTTTTTCACCTCAGCGGTTGCCGCCTGGCTTCGTTCTTCCCCATGGTTCCTTTTCTTTTGCCTTACCAGCTTCTTTTTAGGATACACATTAAGCTTGTGGACGGCTAGATCCGGGCTGATGCCTGGCATCTCGTCCACCTCAAAGGCAAAGATGTCTTTGAATTCTTTTAACAAGTTGTGCAAGTATGCACCAAGTTTAGCAAAAGCAGTCGTCCCCACCTTGACAGTTCATTCAGGACGAGAGTCATCCAAAACGATATCCATGTGCTCACCAGCCGATTGGGGACGTAGTTCCTCCTGCCGTTCACCGGTCAATGATTGCTATTGCTTGTCATTTTTCTCGGCCCCCATATTGGTGGCCTTTCTCTTCTTGCCGGCTGCTGTGGCAGCAGGCGCGGCTTCCTTGACTTGGTCAAGGTCAATAGTTTCTCCACTAGGGCCGGCTGCGACCACAGTGGGTTTGACATCAGAGAGATAACACTCCCTGGCCATCTTTTGGTCTCCCCGTAGGGAGCCGACTGTTCCATCATCCCTCTCAAACTTGAGGAGCATAAGAGAAGGAATGATAACAGCCTTGGATTCATTCAGGGGGGGACACCCCAAAATCATGTTATAGGTCGTCAGCTCTTCAACAACTAAGAACCGGACCACCATGTGGCGTCCCTCTCCTTTTTCGCCCAGACGAATGGGTAGGCCTATTCGACCTACCGGATGTACCACACCACCCCCAAATCCTACTAAGGGAATAAAGACCTGGTGCATGCTCTCGGGCATGTACTTGAGTTTGGCCAGGCACTTGTGACTGATGAGATTAGACGAACTCCCAGTGTCAATGAGGATTCGACTAACTCTTTGGTTGGCCACTTTGCATTCGATGATAATAGGGTCATCATGCGGCCTCCTGACTTTGCCCCTGTCATCCTCAGTAATTACAACTTCGGGAAAGGAGTCCTGGACGCCTGCCCCTCATCGACCGAGTTGACGTCGAGCCGTCTGATGTAGTCCTTGTTACCCCGGATCGTTGGGCCACCTCTAGCAAAGCCGCCTGCTATTGTATAGATCGAAGTTTCTTAAGTGTCCGAACTATTAGCAGAGTAAGGCTTCTTCTTAGACGACTACTCAGGGTTAGTTTGCAGGGTAACCTTGGACCTCAAAATATAAGACTTGAGAACTCCTTTATCAGCCAGACGTTCTAACAGCCGCTTGAAACTAAAGCATTCGTTGGTATCATGGCCAATATCCTCATGGTAGTGGCAATATTTATTTTTGTTCCGATTTTTTGCGGAACCTTTCATAGCAACTGGTTTGTCAATGGAAACCCGGTCCTTAATGTAACACCCCTAAATCTCCCTCTACGGAATATGTAGAAAAATAGATATAAATACCGTAGAGATAGACTTGGGCGTATTACCGCCGCGTGAAAACGCAAGGCTTATACTTCAAAATAATTTTGCAGCGGAAATTCTTTATTCTTTATTAATAATACTTCAAATAAAACTGATCATAATTTATGACACAAAAACAACTCAAACTTTTTCCTAAGCTAGGTGAAATTCGCGTGGACTCCCATATGCATCAATCAACTTCCACCAGAAAAGTTCACCTACTTACCATAAATGGTAAACAGGGCAAAGCCAAAACAAAAGCACGCATTAGCAAATTGTGCTAAGTAGATTATGTGTGAGATAAGTAAAACATCAATTAAATCATGTACATTTAATTCCAATAATTCCAACGCATTCTTCCCAATATCATACTCATGTAAGAACTTTTACAATTCAATTTTTCTCAAGACAAGTTTAAAACTCAATCGATTACATTTCAAAACCAATTACTCACTAAGTGTGCACACCCCCCAAGTGGTTTACTTTTTGAACAAAGGCCAATCTTGAGGAAAGACTAGGTCATGCAAAGTCCATAGCCTTCTCTAATCCATTCCCTAAGTGGGATTCATAACCATATCGATTGATTGCTTAAAAGCTCCATTTAAAAAAAAATCCGTTACACTTGGACATCAATAATCTTGTAAATCATTTTTAATCCAATCCTTTTTAATAATTTTAATCGCAATTCAAAGTCTCTTTGATTAACCAAAATCATTAATTTCAATCCATCATAAAACATAATTTTATATAATAAAACATAATTTCATACGGGACATAATAAAATATAATTTCATACGGAACATAATAAAACATAATTTCATACGGAACATAATTTCATAAGAACATAATTTCTTAATAAATCATATTTTCATAAGAAGCATAATAAGTCATAATTTCATAAGAATTGTATTAAAACATGATTCCATAGTCAACTTTCGAAGGTATCAAACCACATAACGTACCTTGATCGTAACACGAGCGATTCACACAATTACTTCACTTAATCACGAACACCCTACACACTATTATAACCTTAATTAATATAAGCCTATCAAATAAGCACAACAACTTAAGCTACCCTATATGTGCATGAATTAATTATAACTTATTATTATACTTTAATAAAATAATTTTCTGTTTTTATAATATATTTTATTCAAGAAATAATATACATGAAATTTAATTATAAAATTTTTAGAAATGTAAAACAAGTTTAGGAGAAAAGAGAAATTGAAGGATGAATATGGAAACCAAGGCAAAGGAGGAAGCAAGGTGGCCGACAGTGAGGTGGTGGCTGCCGACGGTGGTGGCTGGTGGTTGCCTGTGAGGGGTCGCTGGTGATGGTGGTGGCCGGAAGTTTGAGGGAGGAGAAGAGGAGAGGAAACCGTGAGAGAGAGAGAGAGAGAGGGAAAGAGAGGAAGATTTCTTGAGGTTTTTAGTGTGTGTCTTGGGGTGTTTGGAAGGGGTATTTATAGGTGTTTAGGCGATGGGTTTATAGCAATTTAGGGTTGTATAATTTATGGTAATTTCAAAGAATGGAAATTAGGGTTTTAAGGGTTTAGGAAATAATTAAATGTATGGAAGAATATTAGATTTTATTTGGTCATGAAATTTTTGTTTAGCAAGTTTTGAGCTTGGAGTGCACGTATAGAATAAGATCAAATAAATTTCAGATTTAAGAGTAGAATTAAGGAATAATAAAGGATTTTTATTTTTAATAAAATAAATTTAAATCATTTAGAAAAATCATGAGTGGCCAAAAATATTAAGCTCAATATCGCTCAATAATTTTGGTCCCTCTATGTTAATTTTATAGATTTTGTAAAATAATTTTTATGCCTAAATTTAATGATCCAATAAAATTTATTTTGTGAAAATTAATAATTGGGAGATAAAATCAGATTTTCATTATTTATAACCGAAAAATATAATGAAGAATTTTAGTTTTATTAGTTTAGGAAATTAGTCTAATTTATTAGATAAATTGGGGTGGCCGAAAATATTAACTTATAATTATATATTTTATGAAAATAATTAATTAAATCATATTTTTATTATATGAAATCCGAAAATACCATTTAATTTGTTTAGGAAACTAATTTAATTAATTAATTTATAAATATATATTTCATGAAAATAATTAATTTGGAAAGATATTAAAACAATTCAGATTTTTATTATATGAAATCCGAAAAATACAATTTAATTAGTTTAAGGAAATTAATTTAATTAATTTATTTTAACCGAATTAATACAATTTCGGTTTATCTATTTAATTTTCGAGAAATCAAAAATACTATTTATAACATAGGTATAAAATGGTTTCATTTATTGGATTATCCATTCTAATAATAAGACAAATACTTTAGGCGCCAAATTCAAATATCATTTTGGCTCCAAAACTAAAATACTCCTTGGAAAAATAATTAATTTAAAAAATACGTCAAAAATACGAGACTAAATACTCTTTAATTTAGAAAATACCTTTAAAAAATACGGGGTATTACACTTAATCTCCATGAGGATGGAGTGACAGTCTTTATTGAATTCGTACTTTGGGGAGTACGTTTTCGTTTCTCTCTTTTTCTCCTGGGACGGCTGTTCAGAAGTATCATCCACCCAGACTTCCTTTCTTTTCTTTTCTTTCTTAGTCGGCTGTAATGGTCGACTCTCTTTTTTGTCAGACCTCTTTGAGTCCGACTGTTTACTAATGTTGCAGAGCTCGGTCGCCTGTATATAGGTGTCCGCCTCCATCAGTGCTTCTTGCAGGGTAGCACCCTCTTCCTTATCGAACTTGAAGGCCGACCCATCTTTCAAACCTTTGAAAAAGTCTGTATAGGCCACCTCATCAGACAGTCCTTGAATCTGAATTTTCATCAGATTGAACCGCCTGATGTATGATCATAGGCCTTCCTTCTCTCCCTGCAGTATAGCTCCCAAGTCAAGACTTGTTTTCTTCGCAGGGATGTTCATTGAGAAGTTTGACGCAAACAAGTATGCAAGCGTCCTGAAATTATTGATGCATCCGGCTGGCAGGTTGCCGAACCATTGCTTGGCGACGCCCTTCAATGTGGCCAGGAAGCATCTACACCATGCGGCATCATCCAACCCTTGAAGATACATAAGGTTGGTGTATGCCATTAGGTGGTCTTCTAGGTTGGTGGTACCATCATAGGCACCTACCAGCACATTTTTCACCTTGGCCGGCTATGCGGCCTCAGTTATTTCCTTGGAGAACGCAGAGGGTTGTTCTCCAAGTCTTAGCAGTCGGAGCTGCCAGTCCAAGGGTTGGACATTGTGTGCCGCCTACCCCCCGAAGAGGGTCTGCTGCATGCATACGGCATGTACGGTTGTTGAGGTGCATATGGAGCCGCATGGAGCATCTGAGGACTAGAGTGGGCAGACATGCCGCCTGTCTGGTATATCTAGGAAAGAAGACAATTACTTCTTTGCTTTATCGAAATACCAAGAAAAACTGGAAGATCTCTTAGAGCGGTATCCTGATTTTGTCCAGCCTTCTGCTCGTCTGAATGAGGTAAGATTATTTATTTTTAGTCTTCTGCCTGTAATAGTTGTTACCTTTTGTTAACTAGCTGTCTTGCTTCTATATGGCAAGCTGTTCTTCCTAGTAATGAGTATAGAAGAGTACAGTTTTGGAGTCTGTAAATTATGCAGTTGGCCTGATCCACTTTGGCCCAATGAAGGTGACCCTCTTTTGATCTGACCCGTTATTGACCTGCAGCGACTTTGATCCAACCTCCCATTAACCAGGTCTAATCCTAAGCTATAGCATGAAGAATGTGCTGGAGAAAAAGCTTTCCATCATAAGTTCTTTATGATTCTTAAGTATATCCAGTATGGGAATTTTTTTTTTTTTTTTTTTTTTTTTTTTCGTTATAACTATCACCAGGAATCCATGATTATGGTTTTTGACCTTTTGTTTTCATGGTTTTACAATTGTTCATTATTTTGGGATTTTCTTCTTTCAATTTAGTTGTCACAGATTAAATAACCAACCATATATGTTTGGTTTGATGCATTACTGGTTAGTGGTTAATGGGCAGTTGATCAAACTGCCCTATAAAATTGTTGATTATTTTGGGATTTTCTTCTTTCAATTTAGTTTGTCACAAAAAATCATGCACTCACAACTCGATATATGTATCTTAGGTCCAAGGTTGGGTAAAGACTGGCTTGAAAGATTTCTCAATTTCCCGAGCAGCAGTTGACTGGGGTATCCGTGTTCCTGGAGACCCTAATCAAACCATTTATGTTTGGTTTGACGCATTACTTGGGTAAGGTTCTCTCTAATGTTCCAAAACTTATTATTCTTTTCCTGATTTTTTATATTCTCTGGTTTGATGTTTTTAACTAGTCATCTACATGATCCTTGCTTAAAATGTTTATTTGATGTAGTACTTGTAGCCTTGGAGGGTAAAATGAGTACTTAAAATGATTGTTTTCTAATATCTTTGATCTATGTGCTTCTCTCTCTCTCTCTCTCTGTGTTATATTACCCTACTTTCTAAAAAGTTCAAGCAAACTCTTATGAATAATGTGCGGACATTCATACCCCTCAATATGTTTGTTTACTTATTTGCCCTTATTAATGTTAATTAGCTCTTTTTAAGAACTCTTAAGAATAGTGTGCGGACATTTAAACCCCTAAAAATATTTATTTACATATTTTCCCTCATTAATGTTGCCAACTAAATTTGTGAGGCCAAAGTGAAAGAACTCTCTGCACATGACTATGGCACAAGCATCGCGCATTAGCCGCCCAGTATTTGGAGTAAGTTTTACTATAGTCTTTCTTAACCTATGATTTTCAGATCTCACCTGTGAGTAAACATTCTTAGCATTTTTCTATTAGCTATCTATAATTCTATACCTTGTATAATCTGTTTTCTCTACAGAAACTAAGTCCCCGTATCCTAGGCTGCTGTTTCTCACTTTCGAGGTCTAATATCTTAGTTATCTTTTTTGAAAAATAGGCCCGTGGATCAGATCAATCACCTTCTTGCTTTGCGAATAGAAATGCTTAACTTGTGCTATTGTGGGAGGGTAAATAAGAATGATGTTGCATAGCTATTAGTAGTTATCTGTTTTAACAGTTATTGGATTGTCTTAGTGCCTTGTTGCGTATCTCTTATTTGATCTATTATTTAAAGCCTTGGAGGGTAACTTTATCTCTGATAAATTGGTATTGGATTCTCTTAATGCCTTGTTGCCTATCTCTTAATTGATCTATTATCTAAAGCCTTGGAGGGTAACTTAATCTCTGAGAAATTCTTATTTCATGATGAAAGTTGGTAGGAGTAAATCAAGTGATCTGGATGAACTTTGCTTTGCTTCTTCTTGATTAAATTGCTGTTTCATGTGATGAAGGGTCTATCATTTTTCTCAGTTCTGAGTTTGAGGTTTCATCTAATTGATATTTATCTACTGATAATCTTTTTTCTCCGATCTTGTCACTGTTTGCCCTTACTTTTTAGATGATTATTCATTCAGAATAACTATCCCAGTCTCCACTACTTGTGATAGGGAAAAGAGAAATTATATAGATGGTTTTTTGATGTAATTTGTTGTGCACTGTGGTAGCAATTAATATAGGATCAGGGTATCTATATCTGACCTCCCTCCTTACTCTGCGTAGGGAAGGACCCTCTTGGGCGCCTTGGGGTGATTATATAATTTGTTTAGTCTAGAAGGCCTAGGTTATCCTTTTTGGTTCTTCCTTGGGAAAAGTTTTGAGCACTTGTACCTTTGGAAGGTTTAGGGCTTGATAATGGTATCTGGAGATACTCAAATGGGAAAATAGACTCAATAAATTGCCTTTAGGTTCAGACACAGCTCATTCTTTTGAGGCGGAACATGCTGATTTCAGTGTCATTTAATCTGTCATTGTTTTTGCTGGTGAATTGTTTTTTTTTTTTTTTTTTTTTTTTAACCTTTTTTTTAATTTTTTTTTTTTACCTTAGCACTTTTGCTCACTTTTCTAAACCAAATCTAAGCAATGTTTTTATACATCTGTTATCATGGTCACCAGCTATATATCAGCATTATTGGAGAATGAGGATCAATCTAGTTTACAAGATGCAGTTGCTTCTGGCTGGCCTGCTTCACTTCACTTAATAGGCAAGGTAAGGCTGTTTCCAAGTGCATAATCATTGGTTTGAGGGTGCAGCTCTCCTTTTTACATATCGAAGACAGAATACGATGTGATCTGTCACATCTTTTTTTTTTTACTAGAACAACCCAGCTGGTCTTGCCTATTGTTTCTTTCCCCCTGTTGCACTCATATAAGCCTTTCTATAGCTTATTTGTTGGTTATTGCGTAGGGTTCATGCAAATTTGATTTTCCATTTCTTTTCCTTCTTTGAGATTAAAATGGCTGATTCAAGACCAGGAATTGCTCAGTTATGGTTTATGCAAAAGCACCTTTCTATATCTTATCTTCGTATTGAAATTAAATCGATCAATATAGGGAGCTTGGGACAGACATAAAAGAATAGTGTGACAATTAGTTGGGACGCAGGGGGTAGCACATTTCCAGAGAATAGTGCTGAATATTGTTCGATGATGTGCATTTCATAATGCTGAAAGCTACAATAATCAATTTTCTATTTCACAGGATATATTACGGTTTCATGCAGTGTATTGGCCAGCCATGCTGATGTCTGCTGGATTCCGTCTTCCAAATATGGTTTTTGGCCATGGTTTTTTGACAAAGGTATTGTTGCTTGCTTTATTGCTAACGTATTATTGATCTAGGATTCTAGGTATTTATTTCAAAAAAAGGTTGTGATAGATGTCAAACTTTCAACTTTCAAACACTTGAAAGCATAGTGATGTGAACTCAAGCTGTAGGTTAAGGGGTGCAAATCTGCAATGTTATGTTGCTAGCAAATAGTGAACAAGAAGCTGCTCTTAGAGCATGTAACAAGTAAAGCCCATAGAGTTTGTAATGCTAGTAGGATCTTTGTATTCTATTGTTACTTACAAATTGTTGAGCCTTCCTTCTGCAGTTTACTATGCTGTTATATACATTGATTTTTGGCCTTTATCTTGTCAGACTATGTGACTAGATTATTCAAAGAAGGAACAAATAGAAACAAAATGATTATCTGAAGCTCACTTAATGTGAACTTACAATTTAGCTGTAAAAGTTGGGTCCTATACATAATAACATGCTGTTTCTATCCCAACAAGTAGATGAAGAGAGAATTAAATTCCAAACACAATGTTATTTGCACCTATGCATTGCAGGCTATATCTAATATGGATTTCATATGACTATATATGATGGATGCTATATTGCAAAAGTTGGCTAGTTGCATGTGTCAATAGTTTTTCTTATGTATAAATTTTCATGTTATGCAGCGATGCTTTTTATTTTAAATTATAGGATGGCATGAAGATGGGAAAGTCTTTAGGCAATACTATAGAGCCAAATGAGTTGGTGCAGAGGTTTGGAGCTGATGCAGTTCGATACTTTTTCCTGAGGGAAGTTGAATTTGGAAGTGATGGGGATTACTCAGAGGATCGTTTCATCAATATTGTTAATGCACATCTTGCCAACACTATTGGTGATTCAACTGCTTCTAGTTTTACTTTCTAAAACCTGTAGTTGAAGGATGTATAGTTGTGGTTATCAGGTTGACTTTAATTCTATACAGGGAACCTTCTAAATCGTACACTTGGGCTTCTCAAAAAGAATTGCCAATCAACTTTAGCTTTTGATTCTGCTATTGCTGGTGAAGGGAACTCAATCAAGCTCAAAGTAGAAAATTTGGTGAGGCTGCTGAAATTAAAGTAATTTAAAGATATAAACTAAGTGCTTTTCTATTTCAATTTGTATTTTTTTATTGGAATGGGAAGCTAACACCAGAACATGCCAATCCATATATGAATGGATGAAGTGGCATATTGAAACTCCATGATCAACTATCAATGTGATACTAGTCAGCCATATAAATATGGCATTTTATTTATAAATGTTATTTTTTCCCCCAGCAATGTCATTTCTTATTATAAGTTTTAGAAATATCTCTCTATTCTGAGTCTGAAACTGATACGAGAATAACTTTGAAGTGCTGATCAATGGACTTGCCATGTACATATAAGGTTAATACATTGATTGAAATGTTCCTTTTCTGTAGTAGATTTGTCACATACTTTCAGAGTAGCAACCTCTTCTCAGAAGTAACTTGTTTTTGTATATATACATCTTAAGCATCCCTATTTCGGCTCATTGACGTGGTCCATACATTTATGTTCGTCAATATGAATGAATGAATGTAGTGCAAAGAGTATCTAAGGTTGTAGGAGATGCATCTGCAGAGCCTGTTTTTGGTTGCCAACTGGCCATCATTCTCAGTATTGTAATTCAGACTGTTGAGTTAATGCCTGACTGAGATTAGTGCTAACTATGTACCATATTAAATGTTCTTATATTTTTTTTTACTACGTACTTCATTTTATTGAGCGGCTGCAGTAGCAGTATTTCTTAGCTTATGGACTAGAGAAGCTAAGAGGAACTTATTTTCTTGGGTTTATTTCAGATATTGTGTGTCAACTCCTGTCTGAGCTTTTTCTGATGTTCTGAACTCATTTTTTAATTTTTTTTTTTTTTTTTTTTTTTTTTTTTTGTTTTTTTTTTTTGCCAGGTTGAGAAGGCTTTTACTCACTATCAAAATCTCTCATTGTCTTCTGCTTGTGAAGCTGTACTAGAAATTGGGAATGCTGGAAATGTTTATCTGGATGAGCGTGCACCATGGTCTCTTTTCAAGCAAGGGGGAACTGCTGCAGAAGCTGCTGCTAAGGTTTGTTTGTTCTATATCTATAGCCATTGAATTAGATTATCTTATGTGTGATTAAAGAAACATACTGCAATAAAATTAGCTATGTTTGTGGTTGAGATGAGATACATAGTTGCGTATCTAGTGGGATGGTGGTGTTAAAGCAATGAAGAGGGCAGAAGACCCCATTAACCCATTTGGTCAAGCTTCTCAGTTTTGAGAAATTGAAGTAATGTGTATGGAATGCAATAACTTAGAATTCCAATTGGCCTTCATTTAGTAGAAATAGGTTCAAGGGTTTAGTGTGAGCTTGTGAGGTTCTATTGCTTCACTTATTCTAGATTTAATCTATCAGACATATTGGCTTCACCAACCAACACAGTGTTTTTGAAGGTTTCAGCTCCACTGACTGCTTGTCAACGGAAAACAGACAAACGTCTAGGCAAACCTGTGTATTACTTCTCAGTACCAAATATAAATATTATTAATTTGTCACAACTTGCAAGGCTTACTCTGCAGTGAATTAGAAGAAAAAAAAAAAAAAAACCAAGAATAACTAAGGCAGTCACACCAAATCATAATTTCTTATTGTGTATGTTGCAAGAGATTATCTCCTTCCTTTTATATGTTGTTTCATTTGTCTCATCTGTATTACTTGTATAATGAGCTGATAGCTTGTTTGCTTTAACTCCAAGCTTAAACATGTAATAGATAATCCTCCTAATCCTTTAGATTCTCAATATCATATTAGAGATCATGGTAACCAAGGCAATCGCGCAAAATCATGACCTCTTCCATATATTTTTCTTGTATATATAACTTTTTTTAATAGCAGATTTCCTAGTTTTGTATTACTATCTTGTACACTATTTATACCTGCTTAAAATTTGTATATAAGTTTCTCCTCTTATATGGTATCAAACCTTCATTATTCCCCTCCTTACCTTGCTCTTTTTTTTATCCTACCATCCTCATTCTGTTTTCCTACCATATGGCTACTAATAACAAATCTAACACCATTTCCAACTCTCCTAAACCAGGTCTTTCACCATTCATCAACATCCATTTTCATAACTTAATCAAAACTCACCTCAAAGAGAACCCAAACTGAGGCCATCCTATATCAAACGGCTATATGGTGACAATCTAATCTAGCTCTTGGATGTCATTCACATTTTACAACCTGCCGCTCGTCATGTGAAATCATGACCAATACTAATCCTACCCATTTCACATTGCTACGACAAGATAAGACCATTTTTGGTGCTCTTGTTGACATATTATTGTTTGCCCTTATCATCACTACTAAGTCTCAAGACTTAACATTCTCCTAGAAATAAAAATGTGTATTTACTGGATCGTGACAATTTATACAAGGAAAAGAATAACTTTGAAACATCTCAATAAACATAAAAACAATCTTCAAGTGTATGTAATTCTGCAAGGTGTGTACTCTGTACTCGGCCTTACCTTCACGAGAAAACCTATTTCCCATGAGGATATCTTAGCTAAAGTCTTCAATTACGACTCCTATAAACATGTCATTGATATTTTTAATGCCAAGACAATCCCATGATGTCAATGGTAGGTTTATAAGAATCGATACTCAAGCAATGAAGTCCTTGTGGGCAATTCCATGGAGAATTGGAGAGTGAGTACATTCAAAGATTGTTTGTGTGTTTTTCGAGATCTTTCAAGGTTATCTTTACTTAAGATTACATAGGCAAGATTTTTCCATGCCTCTTAAGGACCTTGAGGCTTCAAGGATGAGAGGAACAAGTACTCAATGTGCCAAGCCTGCCAACAAGTACACCAAAAATGAGCTCATCTTGTATCCATATGTAATTAGCAGGATTAGGATTGACTGTGCCTTTCATATTCATTGAACCTGAACCTGAACCTGAAAAGGTGGTGGCCTCAATCTGGGAATACTATACACAGATACACAAATAAGACAGATTCATTGAAGAATTTACAATTGGTAGTAGATATTCGATTGATAAATGTATATGAATTAAATCTAAATAAACCATTTTGTGAGACTGGTTGCTATGATTGTGAAGGATTGTCCTTTTGCATATTGCTTATGCAAACAGGCTACCAGCTCATTATTATTGATAAAGCTAAGCATAAATTGTATACATATATAAAGAAAAAAATAGTGATTTGAAGTCCCCTTGCTAGAATAATCTCTAAGATCCTAATTGTAGCTACCGCCAGCTTATAAAATGATTCTAAATATCTAAGTCCCCTGCTTCATCAATTTGTAATTGTAGCTGCGGCAAAATCTATAAGATTATTGCATGTCACTGAATCATAAATATGTTGCTTCTATACCTTACAAAACGACTGTAAACCCAAAGCTCATTATTCATTCATATCACTTGCTGATTTCATTTTTCCACCAAAATGCTGCACCAATACATGGAATTTAGTTTCCACCTAACTAATTTCCACATAGATATGATCCATGGTAATTCATAATCAAGTGGTTATGAGGATCTACCATAGAAATAATCAAAAGCACTTATAAATACCTCATTATTCAGCCATAATAAAGGTTCGTTCTTATATTAAATACATAATTTTTGCAGCAACCATTATAGTCACGACCATAGGTAAACATAACCTAAACATATCTACCAGGCAGGTTAACCTTATTCTCATATGAAAGCATCTCACACTATCACTGTATCACCCATACAACAAGTATTGCCTGCCCAAACAAAACAGCTTTAGCTTTATTGTTTGCTGATTATGCCTGGTATTTCTGTCACTCCACATGGGTAAACTCACACAATCTAAGCCATATTGTACTGTGCACACTACATGCAAAGAGGAACCATCAATGAAACTAGCAACAATTTTGCAATTCCTGTTGCTAGCCTGGAGCTCTTGTAAAACTTCCAACCAAGGAAAAAACCTGTGTAAACATGGTTCACATTAATATTATTATGGACCTAAGATCTAAACGTGCTAGATGACCTTATGTTGAACAAAGGGGGTGACCCTAATTTTAACATAGTGACCATTATTATTGACCAGTATATTAAAACTCAAGTTATAAAATGTATTAGTTTCTTATGACCTTTATTATAACACAATGTCTTATTTTAAATAATAACCTTTATTTTAAGTATTAACATAGTGACTTTTTTTTTATTGATGTAACAACCATAATTTAAAAATAGCAACATTTAAACAAAATAACCCTAATATTAGTAGTCCATAATAGCTTAATGTGAAGTTGTGAACTAGGTCTATTTAAGGGTTTGTATCCAACCAAAGAAGCATTCCTGTAATATAGAGTATAGACTGCACGTGAGCGTGACACTGTGACAAGTTATAACTAACTGCTTTCACTTCCCACGTTGCACAGGCCACACAACAAACTACTTTTTACGCCCCACCTAGATACTCTGTCAGATAAATGTTGCTAGCCTATCATGTGCAGCGGGTGCTAGAGATATTCTTGTTTGTTAAATGTAAATTTCTGCAAGTGGCATGGCTTGGACATGAACAAATTATTTTGCCAATGGTGAAGCATTGTCCAGTTTCTTTCAAAATCCAATTTCTGCAAACTTAAATTTTCCACTCAATCTGCTTTCTCTGTCAATTCAAGCTCTGGTTTGTGTGTATATTAATTTTTTGGGTTAGGGTAATATTTATTTTTACAAAAAATCAGGAATATATTGCTCATGCCTAGTCCTCCAGTTTTTTAGATATTGTTTGATTTTCTTGGTTATAGTATTAATGTTTGTTTCTATAGATCTGTTTTTCCAGATTTTTATTTGGTAAATTGGGTTTATTTTATTTTATTTTTTAATTTTTTTTTTTGTTTCAATGATGCTGCCTTTCTGCGCCCCCCCCCCCCCAACCGAAAAAAAAAAAAAAAAAAAGGCAGAAGGGAGAACAGGAAGGACTGATGATTGCAAGATGAGGATAAGTCTAATGATATGTCCACAAAGCATGGGTAATAGATGGGAATCATGAGATAAAGTTAAAATGTATTATATTCAATCAAAAAATGGATTTGCTTGAAAAAATTTATTGTACTGTATAATTTATTAATTTTAATGACAAAGAATAAGAGATCTTTCATGTGGTAATCTTGGGCTATGGCTAAGAAGTGGAGCCTCCAGATCACTCAGCTTGTCCTCTAGGACAGGATATGTTTAATATACCAATATATGCCTTTCAGAAATTACTTGAAGCACGTTTGAAACTAAGTGGTCGAAAATTCAAAGCTTCCCCAAAAATAGTTTCTTAAATCTGCTTCTAGGGAGTAGATATTGTTTACCAAAAGCTTATTGTATCGAACTACAAAACAGTTTTCAATATGATGTGGCTTGTGACTTTTTGCTTTATTTCAATTTTGTAAAATTAACTCCTCTGTACGAGTAAATGTAAATCCTTCTATACAAATGCAGGATCTTGTAATCATACTGGAAACTATGCGAATCATTGCCATTGCATTATTGCCAGTTGCTCCAAGCCTATGTTGGAGAATATACTCTCAGCTTGGCTACACAGAAGATGATTACAATGCTCTGACTTGGGTCTGTATCTCTTTGCTTCTCCTTTCTTCTCCCCATTCTAATGGCTACTGAACATACTGAATTGGTTTGGATTTGCATATGCAGAATGATACTAAGTGGGGCGGTCTAAGGGCTGGGCATCTCTTGCCTGAAGCAAAACCTGTCTTTGCCAGGATTGAGCTCATTACTGACTTAGATGATGTTGGGGTACAACCAGCTAAGAAGACTTCGAAAAATAAGGAAAAGAAGGCTGCTAAGGCTCAAAGTGCTTAGACGCCTGGTTTTCCAACTTGCGGCTCTTATGTTGCTTATGCCAAGCTATTGGTTACCATCTCTGGAGAAGTAAAATTATTTGTTCGATTTCAAGATTTTTGGAGATCTATTGGACTAGCAGCCAATTCTAGGATATTTTCTGCTTTTTGAAGCAAATGTATGCAATTTCACCAGTAAATTTATGAGTTATATAAATGTTGGCGATAGGATATTCTCTGCATTTTGTGAAGCAAATGTGTGCAATTTTCAATTTTCACCAGCCATGATTGATTTTTGCCAAGCTTAACCGTGGACATTATGAGTGATATAAATGTTCAATTCATGTCGTTTCACCTGGTCGATTTTCTAGAGTATATTTCCAAGTAGCTTAATGGACCTTCTTATTATTTGGTATATCCAAATAATATATAGGTTTATAGCTTGAACATTGTGTATAGTTTCGAAAATTAGAGAAATACCCTACCCCAACTCTCTCTCTCTCTCTCTCTCTCTCTCTCTCTCTCTCTCTCTCTCTCTCTCTCTCTCTCTCTCTCTCTCTCTCTCTCTCTCTCTCTCTATTGAGTTAACTCACTAATTTAATGGGTGACTAGAGGTGGGAAACGTGCTCTCTCTCTCTATTGAGTTAACTCACCAATTTAATGGGTGACTAGAGGTGGGAACGTGCTGGGCTGCCACAAGCCATGCCTCGCCGTGCCTGGTGGTGGCTCGTGCCGTGTCGTGCCTACATCTTGGCGTGTCGTGCCGTGCCGGGCCACCATTTAGCACACCCCAGCCCACGGCATAGCACGGCCCACATGCTTGGCGTGCCGTGCCGTGCCAGACACTGGGTCGCCCATAATTTTTTTAATTTTTTTTTTGAACAACTTTTAAAATGGATATACTATATAAATAATTTTATTAATTTATGTTTATGTTTTTTTTATTATTATATTATTATTGTTCTTTTCATTGTTCTTATTCTTATTATTATAGTTATTTATTATTATTTATGTTATTTTATGGTCGTGTCTGGCGTGCTGTGTTGGCAGGCTAAAGTACCGTGCCGCCAGCGGGTTCGTGTCGTGCTCGTGCCGAATTCTTGAAATCGTATTCATGGCACGGCCCACGGCCCACGGCCCACTCCTTGGTCACCGTGTCGTGCCGCTAGTGGGCTCGTGCAGGGTCGGGCCAATCTCGTGCTGGGCCTGTGCCGCCCGCGGGCCGGCACGGCCCATGCCCACCTCTATGGGTGACCCTGAAAAGCTTTAGAGCTAAGAGCATGAATATCAGAGAGGATCAGACCCGGCTTTGGACCGGTTTTTTCTCACCCATAGAACAGGATTCCTAAAATTAGGGCCCCATAATTTTAAAAAAAAAAACGCCGACTCATAAAAAAAAAATCATACTTTACCTATTCACCTTCTTCCCCGTAAAAACCTCCATTTCCAAACTAAAACCCAAAATATCTTCCTATCTAAAACTCAATCTTTGACTTTTGTCTTTTAATTTCCAAAACAAAATTAAATCCCCTCAGTAATTATCTCTCCTTAACGGCTAATTTACCTAATTATCTCCAATTCACTTAATTCTTTCACTATTTTTTGGCAAAGTTGAAGGAGCAATTTATACTCTATCGGAATCAATTATGATGACGATTCAATTGATATTAACGGCCAAATTTTTTATTTATTTATATCAATTTCAAGATCAAGCAATACCCACAAAAAGTTTTTGTTTGTTGTTTATTGAATTATTATTAAACTTAGTATTATGAATATTTTCGCTCTATAATTTGTAGTATTGTACTAAAAAAAAGTCATTTTATAATAATAATATTTAACCTTTTAAAAATAGTTCTTTAAAAATTTTAGGGCCCAATTTTTATAATTAGAACAGGGCCAATGAATTGCTAGAGACAGCCCTAGAGAGGATGTTTGTATAGGTTTTTAGCTTATTTGGTCATATCCTCTTTGATGTTGGCAATCATTGAGGATCATCCTCATGGGGAAGAGGATGCTCAATAATCCTCAACTAATAAACGATTCCCAACCTCGTCTTTTGTGTCGAAATGATGATGCAAGATAACAAAAACGCACAGTCTGAATTGATTGAGTTTTGTTAATAAATTAAAAAAAAGCCTCTGACAAACATCAAAATGGCAAAGAAGTGCAACAACTATTTTTTTTTAAACGGACTTGTCATTGCTTGACAAGTGGCATGTTGTTATTTGTTACAAGCAAGATTTTACTAACACAAAAATATTATAACGGTAATTAGTACTCCCTTTGTCCTAGAATATCTGGAACGTTGGACTTTTTTCACTATTCATGTATTAGCTTTGACCATATATACTAACATCCACCATAAAAAAAAAAATTTACTGATATAATAAAAATATATTTTATCATAAAATATGTTGTTAGATCGGTATTAGTATAAAGTTTCATAATATAATATTTAAAATAATTTTTATTAATATTTAATTACATAAAAATAAAGTCAAACTAGTGCATTGACATGTGTGCAAAGTTAAGTGTGTTAGTTATTTTGGGACAGAGGAGTAACAAACTGTTACGTATTTTAAGAATCTGATTTTACTAACGGCTTTATTTTTCCTCTATAAAATGAACCCGATTTTGGCCATTTTTTATGCACTTCAAATTTTCATATTTTTTCTTTATTTCCTCTCTTTTTAAATTTTTCTTATGTAATATATCCAAAGAATCCGAATTATGGAAGGAATATGAATTTTCCAAATAATCCAAATTCTCAATACAATTCAAATACTCCCCCTTTTGATCCAAGCATTTTCTACAATCCACATTTTCAAGCTTCTTTGCAATGGTATAGTAACCAACAAAGACCTATCAACCTAAATTACACATTTCAAACTTCTCACCAATTTCATGGGAGCTCATCTTCACAAAATGTCCCATTATTTCCCACGTCCCAACATTTTACTCAGCTAATGGATCAATCTCCTGGACTAAATGTTAGTAACACTACTTTAATTCTTCAACAAAAAATGTACAGGAAGCTCAACATTTAGAAGATCCCAACGATGATGTTGGCAACATTTCTGGAGAAGACCCCAATGATATATATATCAAAAAAAAAAAAGCTAGTGCATGGAGTATAACTGATGATAAGGCGCTTGTTTCCAGTGGGAACGTTACTTTAAATACAAAACAAATTAAAGCTGATTTATGGACTGCAATTGAGAAAGTTAGACTAAGAGGCACGAGCAGAGAACCTTGAAGAGATCAAAGAACGAACAAACCATTTGGTCCATGCAACAACATTGAGATTTTATTAAAAGATGGGTTTCAAAATAGGTTATGCCTACAGTTATATCCTACGACACCCGAAAAGTGGAATCTCGGGCGGGGACGCTGTCCAACGTGCCCATGAGTATTATGCAAAACTCAATCATGGAAAAAATTTACTTTGATGCATTGTTTTATTTGAAACAATGCTAAATTTTCCAAAATGGGACCCGCATTGGTCCAACAGCTTCCTTCCAAAAGCGAGAGAAGTGGCGAACGAGTGAACCAGCAAGTGTGGGTGCTGGAAGAAAGCGGCTTCCGGTATTAAAATATCGAAGAGTTTAGCTGCAGAAGGTAGTAATCCTTCTACATCGATAAACTTTGGAAACTTTCAATACAACTCTTGACGAATGTAGTGATAAGAGGCTTGATCAAGGAGAACGAATGATCACGCGAATTAATAAGCAAAAGGAGCGAAGAAAGGTAACAGTAAAGGAGGGGGAGATGAAATTAAATTTTTTATTCCTAATTTTGTGTGTTATTGTATCGAGAAAGTTGTAATGTATGGTAAATTTCCTTATGCTTGCTAATTATTGTTTAATAAAAAACAGATAAAGTCATACAACCTAGAAAAAATTAGTGGGAAGCCAAGATACAATAATCAAGGCCCCCACTCTTTAGTTATAGCAAAGACTACTTTAGTAAAGATATGAGCCGCAGCACGTGCCCCAATGTCCTGAGTCGTCGAGAACTTCTAAACTCGCTTATTATTGTATTGATTTTGTTTTTGTTGTTTTTGTTGTTGTTGTTGTGGCTGTTGTTGTTGTTTTTGATGTTTTTGTTGTTGTTGTTGTTGTCGTCGTCGTCGTCGTCGTCGTCGTTGTTGTTGTTGTTGTTGTTGTTGTTCACTACTTTTTCAATAATCAAGCAATACAATACATCCAATCACATTTCCTACCACCATGCACTTACAATACGTGCCATTTTCAATTCATTCAATATCTTTCATATACCAATTTACCATAACAATACAACCACCATAAAACCTCCCAAATTAAATGAGCCATTTTTCCAGCCACATAGCAGCTGCAAAAAGGCAGTAGAAATGAACTTCAACTTATGTACTTTAGGATCCTTTTAACACCAAAACTAAGAAGCTGCATATGGCAGCCAACCAACCATGTTTATACCCCCATGAACTAGCCACCAATCTGCAACCATAAAAAAAATCAGAAGGCCCTTAGTATGGTGGTTACAATGCATAAACATAAGTCATAATACAACATAATACTACTCCTACAAAATAATTTTGACTTACCCAGTTAGTGGTGATCCAACACTATTTTTTTTCCCAACCGTTCACTCAAATCACTCGCCTCGGCAAGACGATCATAAACTGATTTCTTTCGCAGTGATGAGAGGGTAGCATCTTGCTCATATAGGTATGTCACTTTATCTTCCAAGATATTAACTTTTAACAGTAGCAAGTCGCACTTCCCGCACCTCTCTAAAGAGGGACCTGCAGAGGCTTTTAACACGTAGCTAAACAAAAATATTGCAATTTAGAATGATGGTATACAACTATACAAGCGATCAATTTTAGAAGAAATTGGAATTTAAGAACTACCATTGTTGAGCGAACGCAAATACAACTAATACAGACACAAAGACCCAAACTTTACATTAGCTTTTACGTACCTATAGCTTAAATCTGTAAAAGAAAGGACAACAAAAACTTACATTAGAATCAAATAAGCTCTCATGAGCAGCTAGTGTTTCTTCATTTGAATCAAACCCTTGAAAGCAATTATTGCTGAATCCTATGAATTGCTCATTACATTCTTTCCATAAATAAATGATTCCACGATTTCTTCCTTTTCAAACAACATATTATTTATGCCCCCCTGCATACAAATTTATTCCACAACCTTGATGAGTATAACTGGCCTGGATTACGCATCATTAAACCAGATGCAGAGCGATAACATACACTTTGGAGTTCCCGAAGGGCTGCTAGTATGCTTTTAGGTTGATTTAAACATAATGCTACACCTACACATTGTAGGGCAATGAGAAGAAGGTTA